AAAGATTGACTTCATGGAAGTCTACCACAGAAAAGTAACTATGTTTTGTTGCATTTGAACCAACCAGGGATATTCTTAATCTATTCAAAATAATGCACTAGGCCTTTCTAAATAGTGAGCTTAATATTTCTCCTTTTTGAATCCGTTCAGCGCCATATATGCATGAAAAGAACGATGACGACAAGGTAACACGTACCTCCCACTCTAGGGATGCCTGTCTAAGCATGTCGAATGCCTGCTTTTCCTCGATAAATGAGGGCGTGCAAGGTGATGACGTGGAGTCAAAGATTTTCTCCTTTTCAAAAATTTCCACTTGGGCAGTGAAAAGTTCTTCGCTGCTTCCTAAGGATATCGGTCTCTTTGTACGTTTTTCTTTAACGGGCGCTGTCTTGATTAAATGACTTAAACTGCCAAGATACTTGCGTCGAGAAACAGGGCCTGAAATGCGTTTGGGATCAGCGTTGAGCCTTGGTATCAGATTTTCCAAGGAAGACACGAGTGCCGAGAGCGGTCTGCTGTTGCCTGCCGGACTTCCGCTTAACTCCTTCGAAGAAGTGGGTAGAACAGCATGATCCGGTTTCTCCGATAAATTAAATGCTTCTTCGCTCGGGCTAACTGATTCCAAGTCAGGACCATAACTGCGTAGGAATTCATGTAGTTTCATCGCCCTGCATTATGTTTTGTGGAAATGAGGAGTAAAGAACAGATGATATCCAAACGAGGTGGGTTGGATGTGCTCTACTTTAGGACGTAATTTAGGTAATGCTTGTTTGAGTATCAAAATATGGCCGCAGGTGATCGTATACTATTCCATGGCAATTTGCTGGGTAGTGCTTGGACTCAAATACCACCACCAGGTAAGGATGCAAATATATTTTGAATCAAAATCCTAAATATACTATTTAGTGGTTGCGGTATACATGAAAATATACTGAACTACAGTTCAGTTCAATTTAGATGCAGGGTAGCAGGGATGACTGAAGTCTGTTGCCAAGGTTAAGACTGTTTAATCCGCCACAATAAAGTTTAATTCCTCGTCTAAATTAAATAACTGAAAGTCTATGCGTTTTTAAAGCCAAAAACTAAAAAAGGAAAATGATAATAGCGCACGATTCATTTCCTCGGAAACAATACCTATACTTTCAGCTAAGGTTCAATGGTTAAAGATTTTTGAGGACGGATACTTTTTCTCATAGCATAACCTCGTTTATCTAAATACAGTTGGCAAATTGAGACTTACTCGGATTTCGACAGCAGGAACCACTGTGCGCTTGTAGAATTGCCTTGATTGTGCCGTGGTAGACCGACTTTTTGTGAATTTTTAACCGAGCAACAAAGAAAAACTCCTCCATCATTGGATGTCAATTCACCGGGACTGTGGTCTTCTTAAAAATGAAAAGGAGATGATATTTATTAAATAATTACATATTTCTTGCGGTTAAGTGGACAAATTGACCCTTTAACTTACCGCTGTGCATTCAAATTACACCACAGTAACAGCGTTTTGCATCATCCTGTCGAGCGAATTAGGTTAATCTCTCAAAAATACTTGCTTAAGTTAATATCTTTAAGAAATATCGAAGTTTACTCATGATGGGCTACGTATTGGCTGATGGTGTGGGAACCTGCCGCGATGACTGTGCTTTCGCCCCGCCAGGGCTTACACCCGTGCTTAGTCATCTACTCCGCGTGTTATCGACCCGCTCGCCGCCTCATACGCGCAAAAACTTCCAAGGTAATCGATAATTACACCTCGCCTGATTGGCAGCAGACGACTGATTGCTCTTCCACGCCCCGGCAGGCAAGGCTTGACTGCAGAGAACACATAATTTCGTAGACAAATCTG